TTTTAGTTGTCCAGATCACTTCTTTCTATTTTTTAGTAGAGACGGGGTCTCACTCTTGTTCAGGCTGGTTTCGAACTCCTGACCTTGAGCAATCCACCCGCCTCGGCCTCCCAGAGTGCTAGGATTACAGGCATGAGCCACCGCGCCTGGCCTACAAGAGATATTAATGCAAGTTCTTCAGGCAGAGGGAATATGATGGAAATTGGATTTACACAAAGCAATAAAGTATATCAGAAATGGTAAATATGTGGTCAGATATAAAAGAACTTTTTTCTCATTTTGAATCTCTTTAAAAGGTAATTGTTTGGGCCAGGAACGGTGGCTCAAGCCTGTAATCCTAGCACTTTGGGAGGCCAAGGCAGGAGGATCACTTGAGACCAGGAGTTTGAGACCAGCATGAGCAAGAACGAAACCCCATCTCTACAAAAAATACAAAAATTAGCCAGGTGTGGTGGTACATGCCTATAGTTCCAGCTACTAGGGAGGCTGAGGCAGAATGATTGCTTAAGCCCAACAGTTTGAGGTTGCAGTGAGCTATAATAATGCCACTGCACCCTAGCCTGAACAACACAGCAAGACATTGTCTCAGAAAAAAAAAAAAGGTAGTTGTTTGAAGCAAAGATAATAATGTATGTATCATGAAGTTTATAACACATATAGAAGTAAATGTATGACAACAATAGCACGAAGGATGGAGATGGAAACAAAATATATACTCTTGTAAGAGTCTGATAGAACCGAGGATTCTACTTCAGGTATTGTTACATGAACTCCCTGTAGATCAACCCTCCCACTGATAACAACTACAAATTCTAGACAGAATACAAAAAAAAAACCCCAAACAAACAAAAAAAACCCCAATTACCTGAGGATTCTGAACAATACACTAAAAGCAGGCAGATTCTGGGGGGAATCAAAACATGGAACAATGATCTAACAGGGTGGGATGGGGGATTCCTGCTTTTGGGAGGCTTCGCCCTACTCGTAGGCATCTGTCACAAAGTGGCACAACTTAAGCAACTAAAACTCTGGTAGAAACCCTGACATCTTTCTCACTCAAAGATATAGGGAAAGGATTTTAGGCAACCATGGTTGCCACCAGAGTAAGTGGAGAATCCTAAACAAAAGAGAGCCTGAGAAGGGGAACCCTTAAATCTGTCAATGAATACCACATGTATCTCAGACTAATCCCTCCTTGAGCAATGTATACAGACCCAAAGTAGCACTGCAAAGTCTGAAAGAACTGAACTGAGACTTGAAGTACAACCCACAGAAGCTGACACAGGTTACAGCTTACTGTCAGGTAAAACAAAAACATCAATATACTACTCAGAGGAATATTACAGAATTCAGAGTCTATACAATCTAATGTTCATAATATGCAAGATACAATCCAAAATTACTACTCATTCTCAAGGGAAAAGACACTTAACAGAAGCCAACCCCAAAATGACATAAATGTTGAAATGTTCAGACATGTAATCAATGGAACCAAATAAAAAGTTGAGAAATAGAACCACACTTATATGGTCAATTGATTTTCAACAATGATGCCAAAGTATTTCAAAGGGGAAAGACTATTCTCTTCAACAGAGGCTGCTGAAACAATGGATATCAATATGAAAAACAAACAAACAAACAAAAACCCTTGACCCTCATATCACATAATTAAAAAAAAAAAAAACTCAAAATGGATCACAGAACTAAACCATGAACAGTGAAAACTATGGTACAGTCACTTTAGAAAGCAGTATGGCAGTTCCTCAAGAGGTTAAACATAAAGAATTACCATGTAACCCAGCAATTCCATTCCTAGGTATATACTCATGAAAAATGAAAACATATATTTACACAAAAACATGTACACAAATGTTCATAACAGCATTATTCATAATAGCCAAAAAGTGGAAACAATCCAAATATCAATTGAAGATGCATAAATAAAAAGTGGTATATCCATACAATCGAATGTCATTTGCCAATAAAAATGATGTATTGGTGCACGCTACAACATGGACAAGCTTTGAAAATATTGTGCTATGTGAAAGAAGCCAGTCACAAAATACCACATACAACTCCATTTATATGAAATGTCCAGGATAGGCAAATCTATAAGATAAGAAAGTAGATTAGCAGTTGCCTAGGGCTGGAGGGGATGGGGGATTTGGGAGAATGATGGCTACAGGGTACTACTGGGTTATTTATGAGGTATGAAAATGTTCTAAAATTGATTGTGGTGATGAGTGTAGAATTCTGTGAACACACTAAAAACAACTAAATTGTATACTTTATATGGGTGAATATGTAGTACATAAATCATACCTTAGTAAAGTTATTATAAAAAAGAGCTAAAACTATAAAACTTCCATAAGAAAACATAAAAGATTTGTGTCCTTGGGTTAGGTAGATTTCTTAGAACACAAAAAAGCATTATCCATAAATTTAAAAACTGATAAACTGAACTTTATCAAAATTTAAAACTTCTGTTCTTTGAAAGATACTTTTAAAAAAGGCAAGCCACAAACTGGGAGAAATATTTACAAAACATCTATCTGATAAAGGACTTATATAAAAAATATATAAAGAATCCTTACAACAAAATAATAAGACAAACAACCCAATTTTTTAAATGGACAGAAGAGTTGAACAGATGCTTCGCCGATGAAGATACATGAATGGACACTAAGCACACAAAAATCAGCTCATCACAAGTCATTAGGTAAATGCAAATTAAAACCAGAGTGAGATACCACTATACCCACAAGAATGACTAGAATTACAAAGACTGAAAATACCAAGCGTTCAAGAGTTGGAGCCACTGGAACTCTCCACTGCAGATGAGAATGCAGAAATGGTATAGCCACTTTGGAAAATAGTTTAGCAGTTTCTTATATGATTAAATTTACACTTACCATAAGACCCTGCAATTCTACTTCTTGGTATGTACTCAAAAAATGAAAACATAGGTCTACATAAAGACCTACACATTAGTACTATTTCATGGCAGCTTTAGTCGTAACAGCCTCAAGGTGGAAACGACCCAAATGTGCATCAACAATGAATAAATAAACAAGCTGTAGTAAATCCATACAACAGACTACTACTCAGCAATAAAAAGGAACAAATTATTGTTATATGCAACAATGTGTATCTATCTTAAAAGGACTATACTAACTGAACACAGCCAGACACAAGAGTACATACTGTATGATTTCACTTATTTGACATTCCAAAAAACGATGGTGACAGAAAGCTGATCGGTGGTTGACAAGGGCAGTGGTAGGGAAAGAGGACGGACTGCAAAGGGACATGAAGGAACTTTCTGGGCTGATGAAAATGTTCTGTATCTTCATTGTGGTGGTGGTGGTGGTAAGACTATGAACGTTTGTTAAAACTCATAAAAGTGCACACTTAATGTGGGTGAATGCTGATGTAGGTAAACTATACTCAATAAAGTTGATTTTTTTACAAAGGACAATTAGTAGTTTCATTTCTTTTCTTAAGTTCCCAAGGTTTTAGATAATTCCCAAAAGGTTTCAACACCCCATCTGCTCTACTTTGAGGACCTGACCTTGATTTCAACTTCTTACATGCCTTATGATTCAAAGTTAGCACTTCTGAAGCATAAAACTCTAAATTTTGCGTGTGGTTCTAAGAATACAGAGGCCATGCTGATGTAAGACCTGTGTGCTATCATCTCCAGCTAAATTACAGATGCAGTCGCAAATACTATTTGATCCTCTGCAACTTTTCTAGCTTCCTTGCTTTTCTCATCTCCTCACTAAAAAGAATTTATCATAAATGTTTAGTAGCTCATTCATATGCAGGGGACAAATCCCAGTTTGAAAGACTGCAACTTTAGTCACCAGGTCAGTTTTAAACACCTGTAGTCTGATTACCAACGTCTAACAGAACCCACTACATTTTCTACTAAGAATAACAAACATTTGTCATTATATCAACACTCCCAAAATAATCAAAGGCAAATAAAAGGTAATGCAACCAAGAGAAAAATTAAGTAGATTGGGCTATCAGTGGCAATTAGGTTTTGAAGAACAAACAAAGGCATTCAGAGAACGGGCTGGCACGTGAATCTCTTGGAATTGAAGATGGGCTTTCCTGCATATCCACAACATTAATAGATTGGAAATGGATGAAATAGCTCCTTGGAATTGCATCCGGAGTATAATTAGGACCTTGGGAAAAACCAGAGTTAAGCACATAGATATTTCCAAAGAAAAAGAAAAAGAACAAGATGTGGAAAGGAGCGTAGGACATGCAGGTTCTGGGACGGATGAACCTCTGTGTTACCCACACTATTTTTAAATTAATCTTGCTCTCTAGCACCACAGAATCAACAGTAAATGAGAGATTGCTACTAGCAAAGAGATATGGCAACTAATAAAAGAACAAAAAAGAAACTAAGCAAGCAAAAACTCACATGTTTACAACAGACCAGAATGCAAATTTGAAAACTGCCTGGAAATAAAATGGAATTATATTTAAGCAGAAATAGGACTCCTCTTTATCACTGTAGTTCATCCCCTGTAATAAGTCAGGATTATTGTCTTTTATTTATGTGTGAACCCATTTTCCTGGTAGACAAACTGACATAGGTTGTAGTCTTTTATTCTACTGCTATATTTTCATAATGATAAGACTGAGGGAAACAAAGCTAGATGTTTGAGGATCGAGTTGGGCTGACACTCACCACAAACTTCTCACCATTCTGCTCCACATGTTTGTATGTGGGGACCGATATGGGCACTGCTTGCTTTTCTGTGTAATCATAAAATGATTGTCCCAACGAGTCGTCACTGGGATCTAGGTTATCTGCCTCATGAGGAGGAACAGATAACACTGTCAAGATCAACTCCTTCTCGCCTGCTCGGATCAGGTCCACCACCTGCTTGTGTGTCGCCCCCTCAACATTCACGCCGTTCCTAAGGGGAAAAAGGGAAAAAGACAATCCCATAAACCAGGAGGGTCCAAATACCTTTTATCTCCACCCTCCGGCCCCCACTCCAGTGTCACACAGTATGAACCATAAAGTCAAAAGATTAATTTGGTTCCAGAAAAGTTGTTTATGTTTTCACAGATCCAAATGTGAAAAACTGTTCGTGAACTTACGGCAGGGGGAAAAAATGGAAACAGGTGAGAGGACCTACCCTTCCTCTATACTAGAATCCCACACATAGCTGCGGGAAGGCACATGGGAAAAGGGTAAAGCTGAGGAGGAAACGCTTTTTAAGCTAAACAGTCTGATTTCCTCATCTAACCAAGCATGTATACAAAACAATCAAAGTGGCTTTTGACAATCCTGCCACTTGAACTGTACTCTTTGTCCTTTTTAAACTTCATGGGAATTCTGTTAAAAGAAACTTCACAAAATGTATTCCCTTAATTTGCAAATAGAGACTCAAAAAAAGCTGTGACTCAAGATAATTCCTTTACATTTATATCCAATTTCTCCCCATATCCTCAAATTAGTCAACTTAATTTTCCTTTATACCAAGTTTCATTACTTTGGGAATTAAACAGTATTAATCTTGATACACACTAGTTTCCTCTATCACTTGGCTTTCTAAAAGGCAAGGTAATTACCTCTCTAAAATCTCATGATCTGACCTAACTTCCTTTGTTCTCCCCAATCATTTCAATTAACCTCTCAGGATTCTATCTACTTTTTTCCTGCTCTGTGCTGCCTCACTTAAAGCCCTGTGTAATCAGTCCAATCTAAAAAATATAAACCTAAGTTTATATAGTAAAATCAACCTACTCATTTTCCTTCCTGTTTCAATGTGTATAAAAGGCTGAAATAAGGAAAGGCACAAGGTTTAGAAGAACAATAATTTTGTCAAGAAAGATGCTGAGTCTCACAAAACTCACTCAGCAAACCAAGCTACCTTCCCAGAATGCTGACCCAGCCTGCCGTTTCAGCAAAAACCACTCAGCAGCTGTCCTGGAGTTTACCTCCCATGGCTATCCCAAGAGAAGGAAATACACACCTGGCCTCTAATTCATTTAATATTTAAAGCTCATCTACCCTTTAATTTCTTTTTCAGTCTTGTTCCAAACCATTAGGATTTTTCCTTCCTGAAAATGATGCTAAGTTTAGTAACAAGCCTCCCATAAACTTTTCAGTCACTGAAATTGTCTCTGTCAGAAACATCCATTTATATAAACAGAATAGGCAGGAGATCACTCAGCTAGCCTCCGTCCTTATTTACGGTTTTTAGTGTTTAACAATCTAGCCAGTAAATTCAACACTCTTGACATTTCACAACTTAAAAAGTCTAACATATAACAAAAAAAAATCAGTAATTTTACAATAAGCTAGCTATAAAAGAAAATAAAGAGCACTTTCCACTGATGGAAATTTGGGTTTTTTACTCAGATCAGTCAGACTCCAGATCAAAAAAAATGGTCAACTCTGATCAGACAGCAGGATGGTAAAATGGAAAGAAAATGGGCTTTGAAGCCAGAGTTACTTGAGTTCAAATAGACTACTCCTGTCCACTAGCACCAGAGTTGGTCTTGATGGAGTTATTAAAAAAATTTTCTTAGCCTTGCTTTTCACATCTGTAAAATGGGGACAATAAGAAGTCCCTAACAGAGTTGTTGTGAGGATTAATGTAAAATAACATGTGACTTGCCTAGAACAATACCTGAATACTTGTGTCAAAGGTTTAAAAAGGGCTGGGCGTGGTGGCTCATGCCTGTAATCCTGCACTCAGGGAAGCCAAGGCAGGAGGATCGCCTGAGGTCAGGAGTTTGAGACCAGCCTCAGCAAGAGCGAGATCCTATCTCTACTAAAATTAGAAAGAAATTAGCCAGGCAACTAAAATAGAAAAAATTAGCCAGGCATGGTAGTGCATGCCTGTAGTACCAGCTACTCGGGAGGCTGAGGCAGGAGGATCACTTATGCCCAGGAGTTTGAGGTTGCTGTGAGCTAGGCTGACGCCACAGCACTCTAGCCTGGACAACAGAGCGAGACTCTGTCTCCAAAAAAAAAAAAAAAGGTTTAAAAAGGAAAGAAGTACTATGTATATAGAGATTTTTGTTAAAGAAGAAAAAGAAATCTAAACTTAGGAATTGGCAAATGATTTCATCTAATTATTTGGCTTCCATAGTTTTTTTCAGATTTTTTGTTTTTGAGATTGGAGGGGTGGGGGTCTTACTATACTGCCCATGCTGGACTCAAACTCCTGGCCACCTCAAGAGATCTTCCCATCTCAGCCTCCTGAGTAGCTGGGATTACAGGCATGAGCCAGTCCTTACTAGTTCTGAGAAAATGTTTTGATGGTAGAAGAAACAAACTGAAAAAGCAAAGTGTAGAAATCATCAGAGAATTTCATCTATCCCTAGAACCTTAGCTTACTCATGAATACCCATGTTAATTTTTTCTTAACACAGTTAAAAAACTAACACCTTAGAGACTGAACAAAATATCTTAGATACTAAAACAAGATTTTTTATTGGTACAATCAATCTTATGAGATGTGCACTTGTGAAAAAAGTTTAAAAACTGATGCTCAAATCTTACTTCTCAGTTCCCTGATTTTTTTCCTTTAAAGGATTTTTAATCTGGGGTATTCTGTTGGTAGGCTTGGAAGTCACTGAACCTACAAAATTTGTATGTAAAATTGTATTTGTGTGCATATTATGTATTTTTTTCTGGGGAGAGTTTCCCTAACTTTCATCAGCTTCAAAAAGGAATATGTAATCTCCAAAAATTTTCAGAACTATCGCTTTCAATACACACCTCCCCCCATTCAGTTTTCAAATCACAATACACTGCTCCTTGTGTCACTCTCAAAAATAAGCCCTGAAAATCATCAGAAAAACTTAAGTGAGGCTTACACCAAGAGTAGCCCAGGAGCAAGGAAGCTTGCTTAGGTTTTACCACTCTATTAGCAAGACCAAGTTTCAAATTGGCTATCATCCCAAAAACCTCTTTTAAAAAAAGAGGAAAAAACTTACAGTGTCATATCCTAAACATACTTGCTATTATTTATCTGGTTCAACTATAGAAGGAATGCTATACATTCCACAACTTAATACAAAGCGGGAAATTCCCTTCATTCTTCAGAGAATGAAATGAGGTCAGTAAAAACCTTAGGATATCTGATTTGAAAAAGGGCCCTCCTTCCTCAAGAATTAAGAGGTCTTCACAATCATAAAAATGTTTACCATAAAATGGTATACTCTTTATATGATATACTCTTTTCCACAAGAATGCTACTATATCAGGCTCAAACAAGGTGTGGCTCAACAGTTTGTACAATTCTGAAGACATAAATAAATGCAAAATACAAATTCTGCAATAAAAGGAAAACTTTCAGCAGTACAGACTTCGCGTTCAAAGCACGGGTTTGGGAGTCAAACAGACTCACGTTTGAATACCGATTGTACCATTTAACAGATGAGACCTTATGTAAATTAAATTACTCAATCTAAGCCTCGATTTTCTAATCCATAAAATGGGGCTAATAATACCTATAGCTAATGGAATTGTTGTGGGAACTAAAATGAAATAAAGCTCTAGAACACGGTAACAACTCAATAAATGATAGCTATTTGTGTTATTGTTATAACAATTGAGCAAACAGGTTGGTAGTATTTTGGCCTCCCTGATGATATAAATCCTTTCTATCACCAATTTCCCTTGCCTTTCTTCTGTGTTTGTGACATAATCTAGTTGGAATTCATGTGAAGATAAATGACTAACCTCTCAACCAATGAATAACGGGGTTCACGAAATAGCCACCTTCACAAAACCACTGCATCAGAAAACTGCTAAGTCCCATATCACACAAAAAAGTACCTACTGCCCAGCAGGTCCTACCAATCTATGCTTCCTCCTTAAAGAAAGGTAGTAGCTTAAATACTTTATCAAAAAAAAATCAACAGATATGTGATCAAGCAAATATAGCAAAGTGTTAATGATAGGGCCGGGTGTGGTGGCTCATGCCTGTAATACTAGCACTCTGGAAGGCCGAGGCAGGAGAATTGCTTGCGCTCAGGAGTTTGAGACCAGCCTGAGCAAGAGTGAGACCCCATCTCCACTAGCTGGGTGTCGTGGCGCGCACCTGTAGTCCCAGCTACTCGGGAGGCTGAGGCAGGAGGATCCCTTGAGCCCAGGAGTTTGAGGTTGCAGTGAGCTATGATGACATCATTGCACTCTACCCAGAGTGAGACTGTCTCAAAAAAAAAAAAAAAATGTTAATTATAGAATCTAGGTAATATGTATACAGATATTCACTATACAATTCTTTCAACTTTTCTGTATGTTTGAAATTTTTCATAATAAAATGAAGGAAAAAATGAAGGCTACCAAAAATTCCAGCAACCCACAAATATGACCAAAATTTTGTTTCCTTAGGCAACTAGATGACACCTAATTTATGTCTTTAACATTATAAAGATACACTTGATAATTTTAATAAAATGTTCAATTTTACATAAGACCAACATTTGGCCCCAAGGGAGAGGGCCTTAAGCTAGTTAATGGGAGTGGTTTCAAATAAGATTTCTATTCAACCAAAGTTAGCAAGCTAGGGAAATTGCAAATCTAATATAAACACTCCTGGAAGCAGGAGAAAAAGCTCTAGTCAGGATTTGTATACTGCTTGTGAAGAAAGCTGTAAATAATGAAAACTAGGTATGAATGGAAATGACAAAGCCAGTCACTATATGCACCACAGCAAGGAGCCATTCTACATGGTAAGCACACTATTGACTTCCCTGTGACAGGCAAGAAAGTAATTAGGCTGGGCGCGGTCGCTCATGCCTGTAATCCCAGCACTCTGGGAGGCCAAGGCGGGAGGATCACTTGAGGTCAGGAGTTCGAGACCAGCCTGGGCAAGAGTGAGACCCCGTCTCTACTAAAAATAGAAAGAAATTAGCTGGACAACTAAAAATATATAGAAAAAATTAGCCG